ACTCCTTCCTAGACAGTCGCTTCCCATTCTGTATGTGTGAAACTGATTGTTCCTTCCTAAGTGGAGAACTTTACATTTGTCTTTATTAAACTTCATCCTCTTTACCTCAGACCATTTCTCCAATTTGTCCAGGTCATTTTGAATTATGTCCCTATCCTCCAGATTAGTTGCAACCCCTCCCAGCTTGGTATCATCTGCAAACTTAATAAGCGAACTTTCTATACCAATATCTAAATTGTTGATGAAGATATTGAACAGAGCTAGTCCCAATACAGACCCCTGTGGAACCCCACTTGTTATACCTTTCCAGCAGGATTCTGAACCATTAATAACTACTCTCTGAGAACAGTTATCCAGCCAGTTATGCACCCACCTTATAGTAGCCCCATCTAAGTTGTATTTACCTAATTTATTGGTAAGAATATCATGTGAGACCATATCAAATGCCTTACTAAAGTCTAGGTATACCACATCCACCGCTTCTCCCTTATCCACAAGACTCATCATCCTATTAAAGAAAGCTATCAGTTCGGTTTGACATGATTTGTTATTTACAAATCCATGCCGGCTGTTCCCTATCACCTTGCTACCTTCCAAGTGTTTACAGATGATTTCCTTAATTATTTGCTCCATTATCTTCCCTGGCACAGAAGTTAAACTAACTGGTCTGTAGTTTCCTGGGTTGTTCTTATTTCCCTTTTTATAAATAGGCACTAGAATTGCCGTTTTCCAGTTTTCTGGAATCTCTCCTGTCTCCCATGTTTTCCAAAGATGATAGCTAGAGGCTCAGATATCTCCTCTATCAGCTCCTTGACTATTCTATGACAGCAGCTTTCAAGTATCTAAAAGAGGAAGGATGAGGAAGAAAAATTATTCTGCTTAGTCTCTGAGGTTAGGATGAGGACCAATGAGCTTAAATTGTTGCAAGGGAGGTTTAGGTTGGACATTAGGAAAAACATCCTGCCTGTCAGGCTCGTTAAACACTGAAATAAATTACGTAAGGAGATTGTGGAATCTCCACCACTGGAGATATTTAAGACCAGGTTAGACAGACACCTGTCAGGGATGAGCTAGGGCAACTCAACTTTGGAAGCCCCAGGGGCCACACTGATACTTACAGAACATGCTGAGAGCATCAACTTAAGTGTGGTTGCATATGCAAGCAAATACATACAAATAGCTTCTCTCCCACTGACAGGCATGAATACAAAGATTAAGGCAAGACTACACAACACACAGGCCCCATTTAAGTCAGTTCTGCTGATATTAGTAATAGTTACCCGATTTCTACCCATGTGACAGCACTTTTCATGAGCAATGACAGTCCAAGAATTTATCTACTAAAACACATCTCAACAGAAGATCATTACACTGACTACGTTTTTGTTTTCACTCCCTCTTGCTGGCCACTTGTTGATCCCCACATAAACCCAAACTGCACCACGGGGCTCAAACAAACTGGCCGTGGGCAGCATATCAAGTTATTAATAAATATTTTTAAACCTTTACCTTTTCTCTCTGCTGCCATGTCTCCTCCCCTTGCTCCATCATCTCCCCTGGTACCTGCTGCCCCCCAACCCCTCACCCTCCTTTGCTGTCCTGACTCCTACCCTTCTCACTGCCCTCAGCCTTCCTGAGACCTACCCCCCTCCACCAGCCTTTCTCTTCCCCCTCCCCGTGCCCCC